TGTTCTTCCTACTTCCAAATTCTGAGTGCTCTCAGGGTAACTGGAATCCCTGGCTTAGGACTTTGTTAAAATGAAAATATTCCACAGGAAAGGTAACATATGAAACCCTATCAGCCATTTACACATAGTGAGAACTGAAGTTTATTATTGAGAGGTCCTAGATATTCAGCAGTGGGGATTTATACTGAATTTACTTGATCCCTGCTCTCAAGCTGTTCCCAAGGATTATAAATCAGCTGGATTCTCTTAGCAGATCTACAAAAGAAAGTGCAACAGAACACAGAAGAGGCAGTGGATTATGAGGGTAGGGTGTCAGAAAACATTTCATGGAAGAGGTGGCACTTGGGTTGGACCTTGCGGGAGGGGGAGCAGATGTGGGGAGCAGCATAAGCCAGGGTGCAGAGCAGGAATGCCTGTGGTGTACTCAGGGGCTGAGAGGCTGTGCTGGCTGGGTGGGGAGGATGGGGCTGACTTCCATCGTGGTAAAGGGCATGGGCTCTGCGTTCACACTGCCTGGGAACGGCTCTGGCTCTGCTACATGCCAGCCATGTGACTTTGAGCAGGTTCCCCTAATGTTCTGGGCCTTCAGTTTCTCCTCTGTGAACAGGTAATAACAGTATCAGCCCCGTAAGGTTGTGGTGATTAATGAATCTATGCAAACTTCATAGAATGGTGCCTGGCACATAGTAAGTGCTTGATAAAGGCCATAATATCCTGGCACCTGGTAGGAGTGGGGAGATTGGCAGGATTCCTAAGGAAAGGTTTAGAAAACAGAGGGCAAAGACCCCAAATTAAATTTCGTGTATTTTCAAAGACGCCAACAGCAGAACATAGGTGAAGGTAACGTGAAGTTTTAGGAACACACAAACTAGGGAAAATGTGGAAATTCTGTCCCTCAGGGCTGAAGAATTCAGGCGACTGGCCAAAACCCAGCTTCTCTGAGGAGGTGCCAAGTCTGTGGCAAGATAGCTGTAGGGTCTCGTCGAAGCTCACGCTGCAGGAACAAGTGGGGAGCCTTGTCCTCCTTGTTCCTACCCTGTATCTGTCCTGGCCACCGGCTCTCCAGAGGGCTCTGTGGGTCACAGGACTCAGGGTGAGAAAACAGCTCAGTGCAGATGTGTTCTACCACCTCAGCAGTTGAAAGGCACTGTCTTCCTGCGTTCTTCTCATGCAAGAAGGGCAGCATATGACGTTTCAGGAGAGGTGTGATGTGGTATTGAGGAAGACGCCAGACCAGGAAGAAAGCGTGTACAAGAAAGGCTCAGAAATGGGGGGGGGGCTGGGGCTAACTGCTAGGTTCGCAAGGAACGTGGAACAAGGAATTTTCTTGTTAAGTACAGCAAACAAACAAACGAACAGAAACAGTTGCCATCATGTTGATTCCGACTGGTGGCAACTCCATGTGTGCAGAGTAGAACTGCGCCCCCTAGGATTTTCGTGGCTGTGACCTTTCAGAAACAAATTGCCAGGCTTTTGTAATGAGGTGCCTCTGGGTGGGTTCTAACCTCTCGGTTAGCAGTCAGGCGCTTAACCATTTGCTCCACCCAGGGAGGAACTGCTCAACCTTCACAGACAACAGGGAGACCCAGAGAGCCGCCGTGGCTTAGGTCCTGCGTAGCTGGCGGGGTACGGGGGAGAAGACTGTTGCTTAGAAGTGCATGTGACTTGTGAGTGGAATTACAGAGAATTTGCTAGGAACGTGTTCTCCTTATTCCTCATACTGACCTTCCTCTAAGGACCCCTGGTGGTGCAATGGTTAAGTGCTCGGCTGCTAACCAACAGGTGAGTGGTTCTAACTCACCAGCCACTCCACAGGAGAAAAGACCTGGTGATCCGCTCCCATAAAGATTATAGTCTAGGAAGCCCTGTGGGGCAGTTCTACTCTGTCCTGTAGGGTTGCTGTGAGTCGGAACTGACTCAACAGCACACAACAGCAATGACAACAACCCTCCTCAGGCTGACTCAACGTTGTTACTAGGATCACGTCGTATTCATGAGGTAAGGGCGGGAAATGGTATCAGTTAGGATTAGCTTTGGCTGTGGGTAAGGTTAGGTTTAAGCTGTGGCTTAAACATTCACTCCATGTAAAAGCTCAGCAGAGGTGGTGTGGGGCTCCTCACTCTGCCTTCTTAGGTGTGCGAGCTGAAGGTCCAGGCTCCAGCCATCACGCCCACACTCCAGTCAGCAGGGAGAGAAGAGGAAAGAAAAAGACAAAGGTACATACCAGTTGTCTTTTAAAGAGGTGTCCGGGTAACCGACGGCCACACCACACTTCCACTTAAATCTCGTTGGCTATAACTTAGTCCCAGGCTATACCAGGCTACAGGGGTGCTGGGAAATGTAGTTTGTATTCCAGGCAGCTATGTGCCCATGGGAGCCCTGGTGGTGCAGTGGTTAAGAGTTCAGCTGCTAACCAAAAGGTCGATAGTTCAAATCCACCAGCCACTCCTTGGAAACCGATGAAGCAGTTCTGCTCTGTCCTGTAGGGTCACATGAGTCGGAATTGACTCGACGGCAACAGTTTTGGTTTATATATATCTAATACTCGTACTTTGGACATGTTATCAGGAGGGACCAGTCCCTGGAGAAGGACATCATACTTGGTAAAGTAGAAGAGGGTCAGCTAAAAGAGAGGAAGACCCTCGATGAGATGGATTGACACAGTGGCTACAACAATGGGCTCAAACATGGCCACGTTTGTGAGGATGATGCAGGACCGGGCAGTGTTTCGTTCTGTTGCACACAGGGTCGCTATGAGTCGGAACAGACTTGACAGTACCTAGCAACAACAGTATAATTTATATTTGGATAAGCAATGTAGGTTACATAGTTACAAAATCAGGGAGGCAGTGTGGAAATCATACAGCTACTTCAAGGTTATCTTTCGGTATGTGGATTTCTGATTATAGCGTTTTTTAAAAATGTGGTGTATTTGGGGGTAGATTTACCTTTCCAACCACATTTGCCTTAGGCTGATGCTAACTTAGTCTTCTTGAGGAGGAAAGTCCCAAACTAGCCATTTGTAGAGATGACACCATCTCAGGCAAAGAAAGAAAACAGAGACTTCATTGTAGGCTCTATGCCAGAAAGAACAAGGTGCGTGTAGATTCTTTAAACTTGATTGTCTGTAAGAACCCTAGTTCTCTCCTCACTAGTGATCTGAGGGCTAGGGCAGAAACAGATGTCTAAGTCTGAGTCCCCGAACAAAATGGTGCTCCCTTAGCTACCAACCTAAGGATGGTCCTCACTGTGGCCCCTGGAAGCCACTCTTCCAGGCCTGTAGGTGGTGGCTCCATTTAAAGAGGATGGCTCATCTTCCAGGGCATGAATGAGTTGGACAGACACCATCACCCAGAAGGTTAGAAGCCTTGAGTCCTTTGATGTAACAAGCAGGGGTCTACACGCAAGGAAGTGTTGGGATTTCTACCAGCAGTCAGCCATCTTTGTTAGCAACATCTGTGTCCCAGGCACCATGAGAAGAGACACAAAGCAATAAGTCATGATTCCTGATCCTAGGAATTTATTCTAATTATAAAAGCAGGCCATTTGGTCAAACTGGTAAGTAAGCCTCATGCAACAGAGGCAAGTAAGGTTACAAGTTATTTTAGGGGGGTGGAGTAGCAAGTCCGGGGAGGTTTCTTGACTACTTTGAATAATAACCTTTCACGGGGGAAGATCATAGCCTGCTGATGACCACCCTTCCCACCTCTGAGAAAGTGTGTGCGTGTGTGTGTGTAGGGGTTGTGGGATTTGTTGCTAAAGTCTCTAAGGTCCTTCACTTGGTAGAAGCTCACTGTTGATTTCTAGCTCTGTCAACACTGAATGAGTTGGACCACTTTCATGCCGGAGAAAACCATTTGCTCTTAGGAAATCTTTAAAAGGTGTAAACCAAGAAACAGTCCAACAATTATATCTTCATTTTGATCTTTTTTTTTTTTAACACTTAAGAACAAGGTTCATGTGTAACCTAAAAGTGTCTTTGATCTTCTTGTAGAAATGGCTAAATGTGAAACTTTTATGTTAGAATTCACTAAACATAGTGAACATCCCAAGCTTGGTTTACAATCCTGGTATCTCTTATCAAAGACCATGAGAAGAGGCACAATAAAAAATGGAAGAATTCTAAGATAGAGTGTGAGAATGCTCAGGCGTAGTTCTGTACTGGAAAGTCATTTAACAAAGAGATGATGTGCTAACCAAAAACCAAACCCGTTGCTGTCAGGTCGATTCAGACTCACGGCAACTCTATAGGACAGAGAAGAACTGCCCTATAGGGTTTCCAAGGATCAGCTGGTGGATTTGAACAGCCAACCTTTTGGTTAGCAGCTGAGCTCTTAACCACTGCGCCACCAGGGTTCTAATGATGTGCTACTGAATGACTGTTCCCCAGTTTGAAGTATTTTCTTACATGGCTTCACATCAAGTGCTCACGTGTAGTTTTATGTTGGGAAGTACTTTAAGGCACGTTTTTAGGGAAGAGAGATGATTTTCCATGGAATGATCTTCCACACTGATATGCTTTTTTCGGATGAATTCTAAAAGATCCACCCTGATTTTACGCATTCAAGCCTGGAATACTAACCCTCTCTCAAAGATAACTGAAAACCTGGCTCGTCTTATAGTTGCTGTTCCCCCTCAGGCGCAAACGCTGTAGGAAGCTCATGTTTCCAGGAGAACTTGGCTCAGATCTTTAGTTCTGCTGTAGTATTTTTACCTTTTTAGACCCTTGCAAGGTTTGCAGATACTCAGTTTCAAAAGTTGTAGTGTGAGCAAATTCAGGCTTAAAGAGGAACAGGCTCATTTAGCTAAAAAATTTTTTGAACTCTACATTGAAAGCCTGTTAAAATGCTCCTTAAGACCTATAAAGGTGGACTTCAGAACAAGAGGTGTAGTGGGCGCTTAAGGCTAGCAGGGGGACCAAATATCAGAAAGGTTAGGAAAACCTTGAAAATGCAGGATTCTCTCTCTGTCCCCACCACCTTTCTGTCTTTTCCCCGCAGGCCTGCAGTGCCCGAGAAGGTAGCCGACCTCAGCACTCTGAACGAAGTGGGCTATCAAATCCGCATTTAGCTCGGCCATAATGGCCAGTAAGAGCTTCTGCAGCGCTTCTCTCTGCACTTCACCCAGTGTCTTCAGGAGGAACCGCAACTCTTAGCAACGTGTGGATTTCATTTTTCAGGATTCACCTGGAAATGGAATCTGAGTGGGTGGTAACAATGAACCTTAAAAACTTCACGAAGGGGCAACCATGAAAATACTAAAGAACCCCGCTGGGGTTGGGCTGTCCCCTCACTCGAGATTTGAAGGATAACAACCGTAAGTGTAGTTTGCATTTCCCCATCACCTACTTCCTCTTCCTGCTGTGAACGGCCTCACCGGTAGTCAGCGTTCCCGAAATCCTCTCTCCCGTTTTTTATACAGTCCGCTCACTCAGTCAGCATTGATGTCTTTCTCAGCAATAACAGAAGCAAAGATGGGTGGGTTTTTTTAAGCAGTCAGTATTACCTCAGCACCTTGACATCAGATATGCAAACTTAATGGTGTTTTGCTTTTTAATATTCTATTTGTACTGTTTCCCCAATATTTCTCACGGGGATCTCCACAAGTTTGGAGTTTTTTTTGTTTTTCTGGTGCACACATGTGATGAGATTTAAGGTATTGTATTCAAGTGTTTTACTAAAAAGCACTGGAATTCTTCTGGCAATACGGGAGACCACTTCCAGGATCTTGGAGTTAACTTCCTCAGCCTTTCTTACAGCATTCACCGACAGCAGTTTTTGTCCTTTCAAAACAAAAAACCGCGGGTAGAAGCTAGTGTATGTTCTGTCACCAACATTTAAACTTTGCAGAGTCCAGCAAAAAGCACAAGCGGCTGTGCCAGGACACATCCAGTGGTGTTGCGGGGACCTCTGGCAGTGATGCCTTAGAAAGACTAACGGCCAGGAGTGAGTCGGTAGGTCGAGAACCAGAGAGCCTTTCTGTCCACATTTCCTCTGATTTCTGAACTCTGAGTCAGGCTGATTCTGAGGACTCACTGCTGTTAGAGATGTTTTCTGATGTCTTATATTAAGACCAGTGTGACACAATGTGATTTTTCCAGTACCTTGCTTTTTAAGGACCACTCGATGACATTTGGGAACGAGCAGTGGAAAATACAATCAATTCGATCATCAGAATTTTTTTTCAATGGAGAACTCTTCTGGTACAGTGTTACACCTTATGGTGTGATTAATCCATGAAGCACAGTACGAATATCTGGCCTGCAAGTGCGAGTTACAGTGTAACTTCTGGCTACAGCCACACGGAGTAACTCTAACAGCATCCATGGTGTGTGTGTTATCAAGAGTAGAGCTTCCATTTCATTTATCTTAGCAACCAGGCCAACTGCTGACACCAAAAGGCATCTGAAGGGAAGCCTGCTAGTCAACAGACGTGTATTTTCAGACTCATTGCTTCTCTCTGGCTCTGTCTGACCCAAGGTGGTTAGAGGAAGGGAGTTAAAAAAAAAAAGAACTTGTCCATCTAGATTTTTTTCCAGTAAAACCTCTGGTGGTGACATGAAATGCAAAACTTTACCCTTCATCCATGTGCACAAGAGCCCACTTTTCCCTAAAAATCAGTATTATTAATGGAAAGTATTGTTTTCTTTAAACAAAGGAAGTCTAACATCCTTTACGTGAATAAGAACCAGTAAGTGTACATCTCAATTACATTAAAATGCAGTACTGTGAAAAATCCCGATCTTACTTTCTGCAAGAATATCACTATCAGTTAGTACAACTTAAAATGAGTTATCCTCGCCCGTCTTCACAAGGCAAACCCAGATGTGCCCCATGTATTAGCTGTCTGGAACAGTCCGTGAGCCGTCTCATCGTTCCAGAGCAATACTGACTTAGCCATTTCTATACAGATACACGCCTTCTGTTTACCACTCTGAAACTTCATCACATCCAGTCATACCATGTGCAACATTCGAAGAGCTTGGAAAAGGACGTGCTCAGTGTTACTACTGTCCCTTCTCAAATACAGAATGTCAAATAGTTGCACAGCCTCTTGTCACCCACAAAAAAGGGGAAAAGAAGAGGAATACAAACCGTTTCTAATGTGCTGATACATAAGCCTTAAAACTGTCAACTGGCTTGACGATTCAATTAGTAACCTAACTTCTTCCACCCTCGTTTCTCAATTTTAAAATTCACTTCCAAAAGCAAAAGGTAATCACAGAAACATGAAAATTCATTTAAAATGTTTTTAGTTGTCATTCTGATTTCCTATGGAATATGTTAATTTCTAAAAAGATAAGGGAAAGGCACCAAACCCCTAAATTCTAGGGCAATAATTTAAACACTATTAAGGCAAGAAAAAAAATGACATATTTTACCCCCCCAAAACTGATCGTCAGACTGGCTATAATTCAAAAGATAAAACTGAAAGTGTGATTTGAAATCTAGTTCTAAAAAAGTTATTAATGCAAGATCAATTATAGGCTTAAGCCATCATGGCAATATATGCAAAGTTTAAATGAATGACAGAATCTTGATTTTAGCCTCTACGTTGTGCTGTTTTGAGTATACTTTATATTCTCTATACACTGATTTCACACTCTATGTTGTGTTTTGAGTATACTTTATTTTTTCTATACACTGAAATCATGAGCGTTACACTTTTTCTAAGTCAATTATTTCTTAAGGATTTTATTAATAGCTAGGTAAACAGTGCTTTGGAAATTTTAACTCAGTATTCTTCTCATACCTGAGCCTTTTGTAAGCTCTCGTTTTATGTACAATCTTGTACAGGTTTTTTGACATACACAATTCTGAATTTGTTTATTCTCTTGGACTTTGTTCTGGCCAATACATTTTTTTTTTTAATCTTTAAGAAAAACTGTGATTGTTTGAGTGGTATTTTTCTAAGGAAAGGAAAACTTGTACAGGGGTATTTTAGAGAACGCCAGATAAGTGCATGTTTCAAGTGAATGTCTGTCTCATCACTCGGATGTTTATATACAGCATGAGACTTTAATAAAACCATCCTGGGAACTTCGGCTAAAAATGAAAGCTGGTGTGCTGTTTTCCTGTCCTCTCCTTACATACTTGTTTTAGGGAGCTAATTTACTATTCTCTCGCTTTGTCTTCCTTCACAATTTTCAGATTCTGTATTCAACATCCCCATTTTGGTGTATCTCAGTTTATTCATTTTTCAGCATCACCCTGGGTAATAAAGGCTGGAAAGGGTAATGGAGTAGCTTGGAAGGGACAACAGACCAGCTTACACCTAAGCACACCCACCACAAGCCCTTCAGGCACAGTGTGCTAGCAGAATAATTTATCAGGTGATTTACAGAGTGCACATGACCTGACCTGTCTCCCCAGCCCCTTGAACTCTCTGGATCTCTAGCTTTGACTTTTAAGAAAGCAAAGGATTAAAAGCAGAGAGTCACTAAATTCTCAAACAAGATGAAGTTTCAAACATGCATACTATCTTGATATCAAAAGGTAAAACCAAAATTTCACGACTCCACAATTCCTCTTTCCATTTAAAACTGGGATAGTATGGCATGTGAGACAGCGTGGAGATTTGGTTTTAGCAATTAACTAGATTTTATTGCTTTTGGAAGGTATATACAAAGCTTCAGTAGAGTTACCAACTCTTCTGACTGAAAAAAGTAAAGACTAGTGGATAAATATTTCTAGTGGAGCTTTCAAAATGTGCGAGAATGTTACACTGACCCTTTGGACTCCAGTCCACAAAATACTACTTCATTCTATAAGCTAAAGTAGAAAGCAATTTTATGAATTAACTCTACCAAAGTGAAGCACACAAAAAAAGGCCTGCAATCACATTATATGAACCAGGATATAAACCATTAAATTTTCACACAAGTTTTCAGGGGGGTTAGTTTGTTAACAATGATCTGTAGATAGTTATTTGTTAATGAATTCACAAAACACAAAGCAATGATTAATCAAATGAGTTTCCATTTTTCTCTTCCCAACGCTAAAAAGGGTAATTATACTATTATTATAATTTGATGATGACTCTATCTGCTAATTAGGATGTATCTTAATATTCTACCAACTATTACTAGAAAACGTGGAAAAACCTAGAACTATAGTTAATACTATAATAAAAACAAAAACAAAAAAACAGTGAGAAACATTTAAAAGTACTCACTACAATTTTTACTAGGCAAATCCTTACAACCCATATGCCCTCTTTGGGGTTTTCATCCAATTTTTAAAAAATAATTGTGCTTTGGTACAAAAACTTATAAAACCCAAGGTTATGAACTAACTAGTGGCTTTCCTATTTAAGATAAAGCATTCTCTTAAGAAAATCCACTGTAAAAATGTTCATAATTCCGTGTAAAATTACTACTTAGTCAAAATGCACTTCATTCTTTGATCCAATGTCTAATGTCACTTTAAATTTTTTGATTCAAACACTTATACAGAATCAACTGCAGGATTTATTAGACCTGCTCTTAGCCACTCCATAAAAAATGTCAGCACCATCTCTTCACGCTGGTGAATCATTGTAAAAGAAAACAAAAGACCATATTTTAGAAATAAAGTCATTAAAACCAGGAATTGAAATTACTACTTGAGAATAATACAGCTCCAAGTGGGTATCTCACTACCAGAGTTTTGCACGCTTCACACATGTCTGACGTGTATATGCGATTTGTGGTTTGCAAGAACTCAAAGATACTTTGGATCCACTGGAAAGCTTGTCAAAAACATGAAAGTCTTTACTAAGAGGACTAAAGAAGATGCACTATTTTTAAAAATCACCATCAATTTTACTAAGATTTACAATAAAAAAATTTACATCTCTTTTACAATAAAGAGCATTTAGACCTCACTTGTCAGGAAAATATTTTTCATTCTTAAAAAAGAAAATTGTTGTAAACTTGTTTCTTCTACCATCTGCTTCAAGCACGCCTAACAGTCTCTTCAGAAATCCCACAGCACAGAAATAACATGCCAACTCGTGACGACTGTACATTATCTGAAAAGAATATGAGATGGGAAGAAATTGAAGTAGGTGATGAAGGAGGAGTCAGAGTTCAAGTCTGAACTTAGCCAACAAAGGCAGATGATCCGAGGAGCTGTGTTCGTTTGGAAGTCCATTAACAGTCCATAAGTCTTGTTCCGTAAGAAGTGACAGTCGAGCCAGAAGCTTCAAGCCACCCACCAAACCAACTGCAGCTCCTATGTGAAGAAAGCGAACATGTTCAGTGAAACCGTCGTGAGGTTATTGTAAATTAATCATACAGTCTGTTTTCTCAACAAGGATACAGAACTTGAGACCCCCCAGAAGACTACTATGAAACATTTTTTAGAATATGACTGAAGTTTTATGGAATAGGAGCCTGGGGGGATGCAGTGGTTAAGAGCTCAGCTGCTAACCAAAAGGCTGGCAGTTCGAATCTACCAGCCGCTGCCTGGAAACCTTACAGGGCAGTTCTCCTCTGTCCTACAGGGCTGCTATGAGTTGGAACTGACTCCACGGCAATGGGTGTGGTTTTGGTTTGCAACAATCTAATTAGAATGTCAGAGACAGCGGTTTCTGATGATTTTCCTGTTTCAAATATTTCTTCTATTTCAAGTTCTGCAAATAATCTTTAGATAAAAATATCAACATAACACATAATGTAAAGAGTAATTTAAGACTGACAATTACATAAGAAATTCATCCAGTAACTCTTCTGCAGCTGCATAAAACCACAACGGCCAGCAGGTTTATAAGCCACAGCTGAGTACCAAGTTTATAAGGTGACTGGAAAATAAGTTAGCGTTAATTTGGCCTCAGGGAATCACCACCCACAGAAAGAGTAAAAAATGACACGCTCTTATAATATTAAGAGATCTGAGACCCCGGTCCATGACTCTCCTGCCACCTAGTGAACTTTTATCAGCATGACAACTATCAGAACTTGCACGTTTTGTAGAGATGATCTAATTGGTGGAACAGTAAGCCGCTCCTGAGTGTTAATAAGGTTATCCCCAGTAAGGGGGAAACACGATCAGAAAGGGAGAGGAGAAAAGAAAAAATTTTGGATTTTCAAAGTTTTCTGAATGCTCTTTTTTGACTTCCAGTTATTTTAAACTGCATTTTCTTCTCCACTTTAAAGCCTCTGGTTAATGTTTTAAACCTGATTTTCACTGAATCATACAAGGAAACGTATCTTCTCGTCTTTGCTTTCTGAAAACACACAGTGTCACAGTACAGACCATTCTTCAGAAAGATCCGGTCTTCCAGGGTCAACGTGACAAAACTGCTGCTGGCGGCACAAGCCCAGCCGTGCAATGAGGGCAGCGGGCCTCGGGACAATGTCAGCAGACCATTAACACCAGTTACTCAGCCGCTGTCACAGGACACACGGGGAATTCACGGCAGGTAAAAAACCGAAGGGTAACAATAAAGCCCTGTAACTCCGAAGATGACCGAAACTGGAGGACAAAGCTGAGAATGTACCTCTGAGGTAATAATTTGCTTTGGGGTGTTTCACGGCCTCCCTCGCCATACACGGGTAATTAACGGATTTCTTCAAATATATTAGCAACCTGTCAATTTGAAAATAAAAATTCAGAACTTCATCTGGAAGTTTAGCTAATTTTCTCTGTCTCAGCCTTGAGAACTTAGCTACTGTGCTAAGAGGCCCTGGTGGTGCAAATGCTTAAGTGCTCGGCTGCTAACTGAAAGGCTGGTGTTCAAGTCCCCTCAGGAGCTCCACGGGATAAACACCTGGTGATCTGCTTCCAGAAAGATTACAGCCTAGAAAACCTCACGGGGCAGTTCTACTCTGTTACGTGGGGTCACTATGAGTCAGAATCGACTCACCAGCACCTACCAACCCCAGTGCTAGCGAGCAGGATAATACCTGACTCCTGGGCAGCCTCCTCCTTGTCTGCAGAGTAGAAAATATAATCCACAGTTAGGGCACTTCGGGAGTGACAAGTGGTCACTTCTGGAATCCCAGTGTCAGGAAAGTAATGGGAATAAACAGATGACAAGCTGAAATGATGCTGTAAATTTGAAGATAACCTAAATTGAAAAGAAAAAGTATTCAGCCTCCACTGAGTTTCACGATTTCTATAGTTTCTCCTATTTAAAGTCCTTTATCATTTAATTTTCAGACTAAGGCCAGCCATTAGGACAAGCTTTATTTAAACAGAACATATAATAATCTGACATTTACATATCCATGTGATGATACTCAAAATCCATTAACAACAATGCTACAATACAAGGGGGGAAAAAAGCTCAATAATTAACATATTGATGTCATCTTTTATTAATTATAACATGCTTGAGCGCCTCCACATACTACTGAACATTGCATTCTAAAACACCTTCCTGTATTTTTCTGCAAGTAATGTGTAACTTCTGTGTCTGTTCGCCAACCTTGCCCTCCCACCGAGAGGGACTTCCATACGCGCTGCTATGCCAATTTTTTTTCACGTTGCTGCAAAAAAATTAGCATAGCGTGCTTACGAAAATACCTCACAGAGGGAGGGCGTAGTTGGCAAACAAACATGGAAGGCATGCGTTATTTGCATAAAAATATGCTATAATTTTTCTGTTGTGTTTTTAAGAAAGAAAATCAAAGTGGCCTTCAAGAACTCAATCTGGAACCCACCAGACTTTTGGTGTCAAAGGGGCTACATTTTTCTCTATTAATGTTACAATCTGTCGTTGTGTGCTGCTGAGCTGATTCTGACTCACAGCGACCCTGTAGGACACAGCAGAACTGCCCCACAGGGCTTCCAAGGCTGGGATCTTTACAGAAGCCGACAGCCACATCTTTCTCCCACAGAGCAGCTGGTGAGTTCAAACCACCAACCTTTCCATTAGCAGCCAAGCACTTAACCACTGCACCACCTGGGCTCCTGTTACAACCTCGGAGATATTTTGTACTGTACCTTAAAACAGGCTGGTTTACATTTACCCTGCACTACAGGTCACTATGAGTTGGAATCAACTTGATGGCAACAGGTTTGAGTTTTTTTTTGTTTATAAACACATGTGATGTTACAGGTAAGGGGTTTAAAAATCATTTTCAGTTAACACACCATAACTTTACGGATCTTACATGTCATGAAGGAAAATAAAATTTGACAAGAAAAAAAAAAAATTTTTTTTTAAACTCACTCAACAAATATTTACCAAGCATCTACTAAGCTCTGGGCACTGACTCAGGTGCTGAGATACACAGACAAAGATGTTGGCCTTGCTTTTAAAGAGCGCATATGACAACAAACAAAGGCAATTCCTTAAGTGTCCTTCCAAGTTTTAAGAACTTTTTTTATGAATAGGGACTTATATTTACGATATTATTAAATGTAATACACCTACTCCTCACCTACCGACTATCTTGTTATCTGACATTTTGCACTTATGACAGCAAAAAAAAAAAAAAAACCCACTATCCGACTGCACATTCACAAGGTGGCGGGCACGGCAACCATGGCTGTGGAGCATCCCCTCCCTCGAAGAGGGTCTCCGGGGGCCTCCGGGAACCTGGGCCGCACTGCCCTGTGCCCCCGCTCCCTCCTGCTGGTGGGATGCTGTGTCTAGCTGCTGTGCGGAGCTGGCCTCCTCCGTGGCCACGGCCTCCAGGTGGACACGTGCAAGCAGCACCCAGCCAGCGGGCACCTGTTCTAGGTTCCCAGCTCCTATGGAGCCTGAGGCCCTGCAGCTCAGAACAGCTATCAGGTGGGAAGGGAGGAAAGAAAGAGGCACTGGACAGAGTGTCTGGAAAAAATGAGCGCGAGTTTAATGACATCCCCAAGCGAAGCAAACTGCGCCTAAAGCCTCCAGCTTGCTGGGGCTGGGTGCGTGGCCAGGTTCCCAGCGCCCTCACGGGAAGCCCAGGTCCCTGGTGTCTTGCCAGGCCCAGAGGGCAGAGCAGGCTCCTGGGTGGTGAACACAGGTCTTGCAGGGGTGGGAGTGGAGCCCTGGAGGTGGCTCCGCAAGGGAAGCTCTGAGCCAGCACAGGAGGAAGGGGAAGTGGTTAAGCCGTGGACCCTCCAGTCACACAGCCTGGCTTCTATCCAGCTTCTTCTCCTCCAAGCCTCCTTCTCCGCAGAGGAATAATCCATAACTGGACTTGTCACAGTAATGAGCATGTTAGTAAATCTTAGCTGTTTTATTTCTATGATCGTATTTTCTAAATAAAAAAAATCAGACAAATGGTCTGAAAACAGAAAAAAAAATACTGCCTATTTTCGCAGAACTACCTGGTCTTTGGAACGTAACCATGTCAATAAGTGAGGAGTAGGTGCGTAGATCTGTCAACCATATCTGCTTTTCATTTTATAGATATAATCTGTGTATATAAACACACTGCTTAAAAGTGTATTTTACCCCATCTGATTATAAAAAGATTTAAAATTTACTTAAAACTAAGTATTTGTTAGCCTTCTTTATTATTCTTCCTCAGGGAAATTTTTAGTATATTTGAAAACTTTAATCATAAATTTTTAAGTATTCACTTTTAAAAATTAAAAAAAATTGCCTCCTTTCTTAGGTTCTTATTTATGAGATAATCTTTTCTCAAAACAATTAAGGTATATAAACTAAGATGGAGGAGAAAGCAGATAAAACGAAGGAAAGTTGTTTCTAACTTGTTTCCTAAACGTAAATGTTAAAACAACAATCGAAACTACAAAAGAGCCAGCATATTTTTAAAAAATCAAGGCATTTCAAGCATCTCCCAAAGAGATGAAATTTAAGTCTCCTCCTGCTGAATAACCTGCATGCCCTTCTGAAGCGCAGGCCTGAGCATCTATGCTTCTTCAATGGTAAGAAACCCAGGCATTGCCATTTCTGCACCTCCCATGACCTTCTCCTACAGTTTAAAAGATAAGGGAAAATGACCTTTTCTACCGGCATATATTTCTTTTTCGGATCAATTCTCCTATAAATTGTTTTGAGATCTAGTAACTCAGAAACGGCTAAGGATCCTTTGAGATCTGGATGATTTTTTTTTTTATGATCTTGACCTCTGTTTAATTAAAAATACGATGCAATAAATTTCAAAGTGTACTAGCTAATTCCTTTTAATAACATTGCTTAAACACTTATTATGTGTCAAACATCATGCTTTACCTATTTTGTCTCATCTAATCCTCACAGCAACTCAAATTACAGATAAGGAAACTGAGCCTCAGGCAGAAATTTCTTGCTCCAGATCACACAGCTAAAAGTAGCAGAGTCAGGGTTTGAACTCAGGTCTATCTGACTCAGGAGCAAGCATTCTTTACCAGCACAGAATATAATCATTTTCTTCATTCTTTTATCCAAGTGATTTTTGAGAAATGCATTTCTTAACTCGACGGAAGTTCAGCAAATGTCTGCTGCTGTTCTCCAGAACTCACTTTTCAGGTGTCACTATGACCTCTGTTTCCTCCAGCTGTGTTTGTGTCAGATTATCATCTGTAAAAACAGAGTTTATTACTGTTAATATACTGCTCTGCTCTAGTTTGCCTTAATATAGTTCTCTTACTCTATAAACAATATTCACGACAATTGTAGTTTAGATAGATGCTGAATGACATGTTTCATCCTGGAATCTACATGTTCCAGAATTAAGAGAGCAAAAATAAAAAGCAAACATTTCCAAAGCAACATGCAAATAATTCATCAATGATAATTTTGGAGGTTGTTCAACTTAAAAAAGGTAAATTTAGAGCTTTAAAAAAAAAGGAATAAGGAAATAACTATATACTATATATATGAATATTCATCTCTGAGATGTTACCCCTTTAAAAATATAATTTTATGTCTTCAAAGGGACCATTATCAGTGAGAAGATGGCCAAAATGTATTGCAAACACTTACCTGTCTTTTCTACTTTTGGAACCTGCTGTACCTCATACACACAGTTCTGTGAGATACCTAGGTTTGGGGGCCAAATTGGAATAGATAAAATTCTTTGTCCCCGTGAAGACTGTTCCTGGCCAGATACCTAAACAAAATTTCAACAGGTATCTTAAGTGAACAGATTTTAAAGGGTTTATGTACTGAGAAGTTTGTCTTAAAAAAAAGGTCTTCCAAGTATGATAAACATTGCCCTTTATTCATTGTTTTAAGAGCTTATGTGTGCTCGTAACATAAAATCTTATTCAAATACAGTTCAGAAACCACTTATCATTTCCAGGAAAAGGACTATCTTTCCTGCACGTTTTTCTCTAATTTGGACATCCAAATGCTCTATCAGCTTTGAACTAATGTTGCTGTTCCACTTTGCCTCCTGCAAAATTCATGGCCAACCCCCTGCCATTGAGGTGATTCTGATTCATAGTGACCCTATGGGACAGAGGAGAACTGCTCCATAGGGTTTCCAAGGCTATAATCTTTATGGAGCACTGTGAGTTGGAATTTGGTTTCGGTTTGGAATCTTTATGAAAGCAGACTGCCACTTCTTTTCTCCCATGGAGTGGTTGGTGGGTTCGAACTGCCAACTTTTCGGTTAGCAGCTGAGCACTTAACCATTGTGTTACCAGGGCTCCTATCCTACAATACAGCTTCTATTATATAAAATACTGAGAAGAAATCAACTCCTATAAAATTTTTAACTATCACTCAGAATTCCAGTGGTAGAGAGCTTATTTTGGTTAAATATACAGAAGATCAAATGCTCTAAATGAGTAGAGGAAACCACAATAAAAAAAAAAAAAAAGAGAAACATACTAAAGAATAAAATATCATTACGTAAAGAAAAATTTATGTAATAAGTATTAATTTACTGTTTCAAAAAAAAAATAAAAAATCAAAGCATTATTTTACTGCCAACATCCGGCACTGAAAATTCTATTCTGCTGCCTGGTTAGTGGCCCCTTATTTACGAAGTAGCCGTATCTTTTAATGATCTCTCTCACCTGGGATTTTTTTTCTGTTTGTTATTCCTCCAAGCAGAATGTCGCCACAGAAAGGTGAGCAAGATGAAATGCAACCAAGTGAATGTAATTACTTACTACTAGTTGGGGAAAACCATTATAGCTTGGTGAACCGAGGCTACTGGACCAGCTGAAGTTTCTGAACAGCCACACAACATTACGATGAACCAGACAACCAGGTCCACCTCCTGATAATGAAGGAGGAGTACTTACCTTTCCTATGGCAAGTCCTTCATAATTCAATTTTCCTTCTTTTATAAAACTATAGAGTGGAGAACCAGGAACGGAATTAAAGTCACCACACATAACAATAGGGCAGAAGCTGCCATCTTTCTGATGGGCAACACTGGAGATCTCTGCCAGCAGCATTGCCAGCTGGGTCAGCTTAATGTCACCTCGCCTTGGGTTATACAACAGATGTGTGTTAGCTATACAGATCGCGGGAGAGGCAGCACATGGAATTTTGGGCTGCAGGAGCAACACTAATCCAACATTGTCTCTGTCCAACAGAGGAATATCAGGGCGGTAAAATTCCACTGGGTTCACTGACAAGAGCGAAAATTTGGAATGTTTGAAGCAAACGGCACAGCCATCAGGTTTCCTTCCTGTCCGCATCTTGTATTCACAGTGATAACCTATAAAACAAATGAAGAGAATCTTATTCACACACACGTCAAAACAGAGCTCTCCAACGCGTTTGCCGAAGTGTATCCTGCAGACGTCGGTTATGTAGGATGTTGATAAGTCTTTAGCGTGTGTCATCACTCTCCCGCCTCCACCCTAGTAGAAGCAGAGTCATGACAATGGCGGTAAGGCCGTACATTAACCTGTCTCCTCACCCTCTATGCCACCGTATCTCTGATCTTTTCCCCCCTCGCTCCACTCCAACCACAGGGCCTCTTCCCCTTGCTATTTCCACTGCCTGGAATGCTCTGGGTGTGGCGTGCTCCTTCACCTCCTTCAAGTCTGCTCAATGTCACCTTCTCCCTGAGTCTTTGTCTGATCCTTTCATTTACAATAGAAACTTTCCCTATTCTTGCTTTTCTCCAGAAAACTATCATAATAATATATGATGTACTTATTCATCAGCCTTTCTCCACTAGCATATATGCTCTACAAGGGCAGAGATTTTTATGTTTTGCTCACTGCTGCATGCCCACTGCCTAGCATAAAGCACGGTATATAGCAGACACTCAAAAAATGTCTGCTGAAGGAGCAAATAAGAAGGGGCAAAGTAGGCAGCATTTCTCAACTTATGCGACCACAAATAACCTGTTTTCTAGAAGATGTTTTCTACAACAGGTCTTCAGCTTCTATCCATTAGGCACTGGTAGACGCTGGTGTTAAAACACGTACTAGACAGAATGTCCCTGACCTCATGGAGTTCACAATCTTAGAGTGCTAGTGGTGGGCAGAACAACTCTAGGAAAGAAAGCTACTGAAAGATCCTTACACACCTCTCCATCTGAATTAAAATTATATACCAACACAGTCATTTCCACTTGAAATACTTCCATTTTTTCCTGACCTTTTAAAACAGGTATTAAGTTTTCAATCAAGATTTTTTTGGCCCAAATATGCGACAAAATCTTTGTTAGCAAGTCATGCTTTAACATACATAAATCTTTCAGAGTAAATTTGGCTAAAATAAAAAATACATTGTACCCAATGATTCCAAACTTGGCCTGATCTCTGTTCCATAATGATCTTCTTGAACTTCTTGCAAACAAAGTACCTTGGAAGAAAAGAATGACTTGAATTAAAATATAAACAGAGATGCAGACATGAATTTTTGGTGCTTTCATCTTTAAAAACAGGCTTCTAAAATTTCAAATCTGATGGAAGCTGAAATAAAAGACTTATAATCCTTTTTTCTTATTATTCACAGAGCTATCAAACTCATGTTTCCAAATTTGATGACTCCAAAAACCCCGGCCTTCAATGACATGGAGCTCTCTTACTATCCAAAAATCAGTATTTTCCTAAGGAAGTATTTTTAAGTTACATGCCAGCTTCTTTTCCCCAAATTCACATGTTCATTAGCATGAAATCCTTCTGGTCCTTTCTTAAGAGGTTGATTTCTTTGCATGCCATCATGTAGATTAAATTTTTACATGATTAAATATAAATTTCAAATCAAAGGAAATTCATACTGAGTACTTAATGTTTCCAGTTCCTATCTCAAAACTAATACTGAAAGCTTTTGGATCCTTTTTGAAAAGTTAGATGGTGATTGATACCAACAGCCATTAGCAAAGGATTCTCTGGAAGGCGTGATGCTTTGTTCAGCCCTGTTCCATCACTACTGTTGAATATCTCTCCTTACCCCACAAACAAAAAGGTTAAATCATTTAGTTCACAAATGCACAAATGAAACATTTAACCCAACTTTCTCTTGAGTGAAGAATTTTAATGATATTTTGCACTTACATCTGCATCAAAGTGTTTAATTTCTCTCAGAATATTGGGAAACCTAAAACTCCAGTGTAATAATGGCCGCCGGCAGTGTCTATAGAGATGTGAATTGTCTTCCAATAAATCTTGTGAAAGTATATTATAGGATATCACTGAAAAGTCAAACTTGTTCTCACTGTCTTCACATTTGGGGTTGACATTTTTGTCTCCTAGGATCTTTGTGTTTTCTTTATTATGGTTATATAGATATTCCCAATGCCGTTCTATAGTGCCTGTCAAAAATATATTGGACAAAATACAAAGAATTAATTTAAAAAAGATCACATATTTTCCTACATACATATATTATCTTGCCTTTAAAAAATTCCTATAAGCAATGAATAGAATTTTCTTCCTTAGGAAATGGCAATACAGCATTCAGTAACTAGAAATTCATCAAGTTGGTTACACAGGTGCTAAAATGATATATTGAAAGACCAGGAGGGACCAAACAGGCTTACACGGATACAGCCAGTCATTCTGGAGGCTGAGAGTGAGTGTTAATAAAACACAAAGGGACAGTAGTTTCTCACTTCTTTACGATTAAGAAGTAGCTCTGGCACAGATATGGTTAGCAACTTTATAATCATAATAATATATTTTATGTCACATTTGGCTTTTCAATAAAACAATTTCACATCATATTTAATCCCTATCAGTAAGATCTTCAAATGATTACCGAGGTTCCAGAATCAACTCTTAGCTTAGAACTCTGGTTTAGACATGAATGAAGGGTGTATAATGGCAATCTATGGAAGCAGTTACTGTCTGAAACACTTAACAGGAAACAGTGCAAATAAAACGAACAAAAGCAATCTTTTTAATGTACCCCAAAGCAAAAGTTAAACATGATACGGTTACAGAATGACAGGAAATGACAACAGCTGGCTGACCGACCCAGCATGCAGCCACAAGGAATGGGTGATACTTTATATTCTGCAAAGACAGTACGCACCCTGCAAAAGTGATGAGAAGAGACTCAAAGGGTGAGATTTTTGCAATTATAGGCAGTCCTCGATTTAGAAATGACCACCAGATGTTTAACTTATACATATGTATGTGTAACCGTACATAGATATATATATTTGGAAACCCTGGTGGCGTAGTGGTTAAGAGTTCGGCTGCTAACCAAAAGGTCGGCAGTTCGAATTCCCCAGCCGCTCCTTGGAAACCCTATGGGACAGCTCAACTCTGTCCTATAGGGTCGCTGTGAGTTGGAATCTACCTGACGGCAACGGGTTTTATATATGTATTTGGGATTTTTTCCTCTCCACCTTCAACCTTCTCCGCCTCACCCCACCATAGAAGACATGGATTTTAAAAAAAGGAAGTTTTAGAGTATCTGTGAGCTTAAAAATTCCTGGGTAGAACAAATGGTTAAGCGCTCGACTAACCAAAAGTTTGGCGGTTCAAACCCACCCAGAGGTGTCTCAGAAGAAAAGCCTGGCAACCTGCTTCTGAAAGGCGGCCTGGGAAACCCTACGCAGTGTGGTTCTACTCTATAAACGGTCGCCATGCGTCCGAACCGACTCAACAGCAACTGGCTTTACTGGTTGATGGGCTTCAAAGAAGAGGAAAACAAGAAATGGGAAGAACTTAGCTACATAAAGAATCTCAGCCTCACATCTGGGGTCTTAAAAGCTTGCAAGCGGCCATCTAAGATGCATCAACTGGTCCCAACCACCTGGAGTAAAGGAGAATGAAGAACACCAGAGACGCAAGGAAAATATTAGCCCAAGAGACAGAAAGGGCCACATGAACCAGAGACTTCATCAGCCTGAGACCAGAACTAGATGGAGCCCGGCTACCACCAATGACCGTCCTGACTGGGAACACAACAGAGAGTCCCGGACGGAGTAGGAGAAAGGTGGGGTGCAGAACTCAAATTTGAGTAAAAAGACTAGACTTAATGGTCTGACTGAGACTGGAAGAACCCTGGAAAGCATGGCTCCCGGATTCTGTATCAGCTGAGAACTAAAACAATTTCCGAGGCCAACTCTTCAGACAGGGATTGGACTGGACTGTGGGACATAAAGTGATACTCGTGA